TATCAAAGCAATCGAAAGAATAAGAAGAGCCGCTAAATCTTCCGTTTTGGAAAAAAAAATTTTGCGGTCGGGCGAATAGCCAGAATTCCCTATTGGCCCGACGGTCGGGCGAATAAAAAGAATACCCTATTGGCCCGACGGTCGGGCGAATAGCCTCATGCCAACGGTGTGGAAAGTAAAGGCCCAATCCTAGTTTAACACCTTGGCCGGGTTTAGCTTAGCATATATGCGAACTATATATGTACCGTACACGGTTCTCAAACTATAGGATTGAGCAAAAGTAAATACCAGTATTAATAAAAATATACCAGTAATAAAAATAAATATATATATAATTATGAATGGGGGTTAAAGCACTAGATAGAATGTGACCTAAAAATAACACCTAACTCATCTGCATTAGAGTCTTGGGTTTTAAAATTTTAGACAAGTATGCATATTGCTTTTCTCTGGCCAGTTGTTTCTGGATCATGGAATGAACACTGTGAATGAAGATGTCATTTCCATTACCGAGGGAGTGCACCACCAAGTGTCGCTCAGAGGAGCATGCAAGCGAACTCATAACTACGGTGACAAGTAGGGCTGCTACAGTGGATCAGCTAAAGGCATATTGTCTGCAACGCTGTGCAAATTTTGCACATGTCCGTGATGAGTACGATATTTTTCCACAATTAGTCTCGCATGTGGTTATATTGTTATTAGTAGTATAATATAAACATTCGAAATAAGATAACTTTTTACACATATACCAGAATGTATATTTACAGCATATATATATAGATTATAATCACTACCTTGTTAATTGTTTTGTTGATAGTACTGGTAATGAATGGCTACCATATGGGATACCCTTTCTGCCCTAGCCACTATATTTATGTTCATGCTGAATTTTTAGTAAAATGATACCCTTTCTTTCAGGCTTGGCCGGACTGTTCTGCACATGGCGGCAGCATGTGGTCAGACAGAGCTCGTGTCCTGGTTGCTAGAAGATGCACACTGTGATGTCCAGCTCATGGATTATGAGTCCAGGTGGAATGCCCTACACAAAGCACTGTTTTATGGACAGTTGTCAGTGGCTAGGACTCTCATTATGGTATGTACATGGTATAACAGGGTGGCCACATACCGGTAAGTTAGAAAAATCAGATAAATTCTTCTTGAGCTGGGGTTGTGGAAATCTGCTGCAATAAAAAATAAAAGCAATTTTGAGCGTGACAAATTTCAGGGAAATAAGTAGATAGTGCGTCACGAAGAATGACAATAAACGATGGTTTAACAGAAATGATAAGCCTAAATTTGGTGATAACTGATAAGACCCTATATGACTGTAAGTCTGGGATATTTTTTACTAAACTGGGAATGATGAAGGTCAGAAGAATATAAAACCCAATATGTAGCCATCCTGGTAATGACGTTAACCCATGGCGGTTGAGGAAAATGAGATATCTGAAAAGATATCGACTAATAGGTTAGGTAGATGAATGTCAATATGATATATGGCGCTAATAACATTGTGATGGCATATAATTGTATAGGAAGTTATTAAGTGTAGTGAATGTATTATCAGCTGTATATTCAGCCATAGCAAATACAACAGCGGTAGAAACTTTTGAACAAGGGAGTTCAACGGACTCCCTACACTCAAAAAGAAGGAGTCCGCAGCAAAATGAGGGCGTCCACAGTCTGAGGTTCAAAATTAAAGATGTTAACAATAACGCATGTGCTTATTTTTAAGATTCATGCAGTTGCACATCTGCCAAATTTTCTTTGGACATTAGTTGAAAAGTACAGTAATTCCGCGAGGCCGTGCTCCGGAACGAACTATAGTTACTATGGCAGAATTTTCAGGGAGTCACACGGACTCCTGCATATGTGAAATCAGGGAGTCCGACAGTAAATCAGGGAGTATTTGACTCCGGACTCCCGTTAATTTCGCACCCTGTACAATATGTGATCACTTTGTTCTCTGTCTTATTTATTGGCCATTAGCCACACAGCATGGCGCTAGATATGTGAATCATCTCGAGATGTCAGCACAATGAAATCCTTTTCAGCATGGTGCAAGTCTGACCGCATGTGCAGACTATGATGGATTCAATCCACTAGACATTGTGGTAAAGGATCGACGGATACCAGACCAGTTTTCATCTAGTGGTAAGATCCAGAAACTGGAGAGGAGGTGATATTTTCACAGTACTTATAGCATATGTCACTTTGGTTGATTTTCCTAAATGGGTCACCTAATACCATAATGAAAATCACTTTTCTGCTGGAATTTTGCAACTTGATGCTATGATGACAGTTGATTTTTGTTAATAGACTGTGAGCAGTTGTGTATCTTTAAACAGTATTCACACCCATTATATCACAATAATGCTAGATAGTAATTGATTTGTCTAACAATTTGAATGCATTGCTCTCATTATTGTACACAGTGTTCTATCTACAGAGCACAAACTCCCTTGGAGCTTTGCTAAGGTTCCAAGATGGCATGTGTTTATTTAAATAGCAAACGTGAGGGTACAATAAAACTTTCGATTATAAATCTGACCTGCAACGATGTAATAAGAAATTATTTCAGAAGCCATTTATAAATATGACATGTGACAGATGGGTGCATGGCTAGGTGCTTATTTAAATTGTAAATATAACAAGACACCTGCAACACTATTCATATGTAATTTATGTGTTAACCAACAGATGTTATAACTGCTATTCTAATGGGTAAACATCATTGGTCTTTTGTTCTCTTAGATCCCGGTGATCTTTATACATGGGGTGACAATGCAAACTTCACACTAGGACATAGTGATGGAAAGAGCAAGCATTATCCGGAAATGGTCGTTGAGTTTAAGAAACATTCGCTATCGATCAAACAGGTGAGCACACATTTTCCTGGACGTCACTCATATCTCAACATTTCGTAAATCATGTTGAAGGACAGATTTGAATGTGTCTGATTATTAAAATGGGTTTGGTTATCCCCTCTGTCCTGCAGTATAACTAGCTTCACTTGCACCTAGTCACATCTACTGTTCTCTCACTAATATGGCACAGTTTATATTAAAGTTGGTAGTGTTATATTAAAGGAATAATAGGTCCATTGATTATGCAATGTTGACGAATGCTAGAGTAACTGGCACCTTGTGTAGTTAATAAGTACATTACCTTATAGCCAAACGCTTATTAGTTTGTCCAATATCACTGCTGGTTACTAAGAAATGTCTAATTGAAATCCGCAGTCCAAAAATCAGTTGTTTACAGTTTCAAACCGCTGCTGGCGAAGCGGATGTGATACAGATTTATAGTGCACCGGACATTTTCGCACGCATGCTCGGCCGTACGCAATGCTATCATCGGTGATTTCGTAAACATGGACGCTCGTGATAAGGAACTTTTTGTCAGGGCTGTCCACGTGCGTCCGTGATTAGTACGTGTGTTTTACTCTATTTCCATGTTTAGTTCGTGGCCGTGGTTACACTGCTGACATCTCCGTTTCATCTGGCGTCCAAAACATATGGGCCGCACAAATGTTTACGTCATCGCTTGACTCCTGGATGACATTTACGGCACGTAAATGATACGTTGATACATATCAACAACCGATTTCAGGTCTTGTTTGTAATGTAACCAGCAGTGATATTGGACAAACTAATAAGCGTTTGGCTATAAGGTAATGTACTTATTAACTACACAAGGTGCCAGTTACTCTAGCATTCGTGATGCTATCATCGGTGATTTCGTAAACATGGACGCTCGTGATAAGGAACTTTTTGTCAGGGCTGTCCACGTGCGTCCGTGATTAGTACGTGTGTTTTACTCTATTTCCATGTTTAGTTCGTGGCCGTGGTTACACTGCTGACATCTCCGTTTCATCTGGCGTCCAAAACATATGGGCCGCACAAATGTTTACGTCATCGCTTGACTCCTGGATGACATTTACGGCACGTAAATGATACGTTGATACATATCAACAACCGATTTCAGGTCTTGTTTGTAATGTAACCAGCAGTGATATTGGACAAACTAATACGCGTTTGGCTATAAGGTAATGTACTTATTAACTACACAAGGTGCCAGTTACTCTAGCATTCGTCAACATTGCATAATCAATGGACCTATTATTCCTTTAAAATATAACAGTGACCACACACTGCTACCTTAGTGTGTATTAGTAGTCAAGAAATAATCTGAACTGCTGTGTGTTAACACGTTTCAGGTGGTGATGTGTGAGTTCCATAGCGTGGTTCTGACTCACTGTGGCCGGGTGTACACATGTGGTCATGGACGTGGGGGTAGGCTCGGTCATGATGCCATGACATGTCTAGTAAGTGCGTAGTTGTGCTGCATATGTTAAATATCTAGTTAATTTTGAATTTATGGGGCCCATTGGCAGAAACGTTAGAGATTGTTATTTATGGCTATCTTAAATTGACTACGTCACGAATTTTCTATGGTAAAATTTGTCAAATTTTTGTTGCTTTTTTTTTACATTAAAAGCAAGAACTAACGGGACTAAACGTATCGTCAAATTTTTACCTGATAAGATTGTTTCTCAACTAGTTAAAAATCCAAAAAACCTGGACAATTTGATATTAGTGTTCCTGACATTAATTGCTTGCTATGGGCTATGTATGAGTCACGAGTGTATGTTCACATCGAACAATATAGTAAAATAGGAAGTATAATGCAGCAATTTAACCATAAAAAGTGAACAGAATTACTTATATTTTGTGAGAAAATGTACTTACGGCGACGTAATCACTTTAAGAAAAATGTCATGACATTTGCATGACACTTTACTTAAAAACGTGCGGTGTGATATTTTAGACTCGTGATGTTTCTGATAATAGGCCCCAGGTGTTCTTTATCAGGTTTTATTTTGTTGTTGTTGTTGTTGTTGTTATTCCTACTAAAATGCAAAATTTCAATGGTCTTTGTCTTGCACGAGTAGTGACGTATGGTTATTTTACACAGATGCCCAGACAGGTTGTGGGCATGGACAATGTCATGTATGTTGCCGCTGGGCTAAATCACACGGTGATGCTCACTGATGCAGGATCTGTTTGGACATGTGGTTTAGCCACAGCTCACTCCTTGTCAACCACGAGTCCAAGATCAGAGGAGGCTTCTTTCAGTCCCAAAATGGTGTGTACTCCCATTACTTGGGGAATAGAATACATCACACACACATGCATGCGAGCATGAACGAACACGCGTACGTACACCTGCCTGCACTCACATGCACACCGACATGGACACACCACATGCACACATGCACGCACTGCATGTATGCGTACACACGTGCAGACACGCACACATGCATGCACACTGCACATTCACTTATGCATACACTGGCACACACACAAATGCATGTAGCACATATGCATACATGCACGCACACACACGCAGGCACGCATCACATATGCACAAATGCACACAGGTGGGATGGGTGGTGGGGTCTTGTTTCCCAAAGTTTACAGTAAGCTTACATCACATAAAGCTGGCTGTCCCTCCATGTTCACAACGGAGGTAAGTTCAACTAGCTATTCCAGCCCTTTCCCATTCCCCAGTGCCCATAGTAAGCATACATCCTTTCCAGTTGATTTAGCCATGTTGTTTCTCAGTCTCTAAATGGATATAAACCAAATATAGGCCTCGTCTTTCTTGACCAATAGAGTGCATTCTGTAGACCTTATTTCAGTCTGGTTGTAATTGCTCCAGGTTGACAATAGAGATATGTCTGGCAGAGCCAGTGCCAATCTCTTGTTCCTCTATGTGTGTATGCTGCCTTTCAGCTCGGTGCAAAAATCATGAAGACATTGTGCATCGTTGGGATTTGTGCTGGACGGTTCCACACAGTGCTATGGACTGCTGGCTCCGTATTTACGTTTGGCGTCAATGCTGGACAGTTAGGTGAGTGTGTTGTACCACTCTGCCAACTTGCTAGCGCTTCTGTTATGTGCTTTTCGTGCTACATCTAGTGTGCATGCTTCATTCTGCATACTCTTTTCTTCTTCTTTTAACTTCTAAAAGACTATCTAAGGTGTAAATGACAATTTGCTGTGTTGGGCTATCTGTAATCTAATGCCACTGTTTCTTGTGTTGGTTGAAACATGATGTCAATACATGCAAAAAATAAATTTTTATCTTGGTATTTTAGAATTAAATATGATTAGTCCTTATCTGAAGTGTTATTTTTAATTAAAAACTTACTGTGATGGTTTATGCTTTCACACTTTCTCAATGGACACTCTAGTGTATATACTTTAAAACACACAGGTATGTTCATATGCATCAATATGTCAGATAATGCTGTATGCAGAGTTGAAAACTATGGAGTTACAGGAAAAGGTTGAAGCAGGGAAAAGTTACAAGTCACCAGTAAAAAGGCCATAAAAAAGTACTAGGAAAGGGTACCATGCGTACATATGACATAACTATTTTGAAGGACACGCAAGGACATCAGAACTGATTATATCACAACCGCGACTTGTGGCGGCCCTTGACCACAAGGACATCATTCCAAAGCTGGTCTCCTGCTGCGAGGGTGCCACTGTCTGCGTGACAACGAAGGGCGATGTTTACGTACTGCACGAGTACCAAACAAGAAAGATTGCCTCCAAGTACGCCGCCTGTAACATCCGGCAATGTATCGACTTTGTGAAGTCGCATGAGAGCGACTGATCGTAACAACTTATCGTACGACAATGTTATGCACGATAAGACAGTAGTCATTGCACTGAGTCACAGTGCAATTCAGGTTTGACTGCATCATAATCAACATGGGCACTTTAGTGGTGCTGGTGATTTAAGTTGTAAATCTGGCAGTGGACACCCCTCCTTGAAGGTATAAAAGTTCTATTGCTGTTGCAGGCATGTAGATGCTGTGAGGGTAACAGCTTATGGTGGGCATCTAGATTGTGGTGGCAAGATCGAGGGCCTGAATGAGAGGGGTGGCCATGAGCTGAGAATCCTACTGCTTTCTTCTACCAACAAGGTTTGCCTCAATTTATATTGACAACATTTAGCTTCCAATAATTACCATGTCGCTTAATTTATAAAGATTAGCAATGGCATGTTTCACTGATAGGTATGGCTGATGGATATGACTGGTTGGCATAGTTGATAGGGGTGAGTGAAAAGTTTGGTAAAGGCTGTATTGAGTTGTCGACACAAAGGGTGTGACAGGCATTGTTAGGGTTGACTGACAGGTGTGGTTAATGGACATATCTGGTTGGCATAACTAAGAGGCATGAGTATGACAACATTGACAAGTGTGGTTGGTGGTCATATCAGAGAGGCTTGACTGATAAGCATGGTTGACTGGCATGTTATGCAATTGCAGCTGTATTCATGGAGAGCCTCTGATCCTATAATGCGGAGGGTTTTGTTCACAAGCTACCGATCTGCTCTATTCACTGAAGTTGCTCTGCATAGACATGGCGCCATCATGGCAACCAGTGATGGCGAGGTGTTTCTAGCTACTTTTAAGAAGAGGGGTCCTACGGTGAAGGAAAAGGGTGAGTATTTACAATTTCGATGCTGTTTGTAATAATGCACATGTAAAATGTATTAAAACGAGGTAATATAGTTAAAACGCATAGGCTGGTCTATTAAAAGTACGTCACATGATAGGTGATACTAATTGGTAGGTAAACTGCAGGAAAATCAAAAGGTATGGATTTTTTCACCGTACACAAAAACTGTTCAATGTCCGTACAGCTTGCTATGTGTGTATAAATCATCCAAAATAAACATCTATATCGGTGTTTCTCATTCATTCCTCTTTGAGACTGCTTGTCCCCCTCATTTGGTTTATTCTAACTCATGGTGTTGATATTCGATCACCTATGTTATGGTTAGCTGCTTTGTTTGTTAAAGGATTCAGCGATTGTGGATAGAAACTGGCATTTAAACATATTTTTATGTATAAATAAATAAAAAAATCAATGTGTTTATTTTTTCTTCATTAATTCTCCATCACAAACCAACTGTTGCTAGCCAAGATACACATTTCAGGAGGCTGCCATGCTTTTCTGCTGCCAGCAGCACTGGCATCGACCGGCTCAGACTTGTAATATGTACTAAGTTACAGGCGACGTTGCTAGTGACTATTTGCATTGTCTGCTGGCCAAACAAAAGAGCACTTGTCCCGGTTGATGCCAGCACCACTGGTTGAAGAAAAGCATGGCTTTCTTCTGCATTGTTTAGCTTGACTAGCGGTGGTCAGTTTATGACGGAAAATTAATGATGAATAAAGAAACACATCAATTGATTTTTTTTATGAATAATAATATGTCTAAATGCCAGTTTCTAAGCACAGTGGCCAAGCCACGAGGCAAAGCAGCTAACCATAACATAGGTCAACCACAACACCATGAGTCGAGGAAAGCCTGCCTAAACCTAACTTTAACTAAACCATGGTAAAGTTGAGCAGTGATGCTGGGAGAAAACTTACACAGAAAGCATGATACAGGCAAACTACAATCTAGTTTCTAGATGAACTGGTTGATTTTTACATACTGGTTTGTGCTCTTCAGAAGTGGTGTCTAGCAAAGAGAAATCTAGAGAGTGGGACACGTTCGTATACCGTGGCATGGCGGAGTTATTGAACATCGAGGACTGTGAGGTGGCACTACTGCAGCGTGTCAGCGGTGTGCATAGAGCTACGGCTGTGTCGTGCGATCCAAGCGGTCGCAATTTCGCTGCTGTGCAGTCGGACCCAAACACCAGGTGGGACTGATTGCTTACTTACTGACTAAGCGGTTGCTTGATGGCAAACTACATGATTACCTGTTTGCAAACTACATGGCTATAGCTAATTCTGGTCAGTTGAAAACCAGGTATATTAGCGGCGAACTACTGTAATCTTGAGGCGCAACTCTTCTAGTATGACGGAGGTTCCGTGCGTTGAAGCGAGTACGATGTGGCAGAATCTGAAGCAGCTATATGATGAGACGGACAGCTTCGATAACATACATGACGTCTGCATCAAGGTGCGGTACCATCTGTCGCTTCGAGAATGCACAACATTGTATCTTTCTACTTTGGAAAGATATTTAAAAGCATTGGAAATAGTAACAACTTTTTGAGTGCTTGAATTTTTAGCCAGTGTGTTATTGTTAATATTGTTTCGACAATGAGCAATAACCATGATGTAGTTGCTACATATTTGGTAGGCAAAATTTGCAGGTGCTTCAAAGGTCATTCTATGCCCACGCATACATCTTGTCTTCGAGGAGCGAGTTTTTTCGCAAAGCGCTGGACTGTGGTTCTGAGCAGCCTGGCACACACCATGTTGAGGTGGACGGCATTCATCCCGATATCTTCGCCGAGATCCTAACGTATATGTATACAGACACCTGCCATCCGCTGCAGCCTGGCTCAAAGTTTCAACTGCAGCATCTAGAGGGCGTCACTGGTAATGTGCTATCGATGAGTGACACAGGACAGGAGCCCCACTGCGGCGATTTTTTGGACCTGCACGGTCAAAAGGTATGCGCGCAGCCACCTATGAAAGGTGAAATGTACAATGTACTGTTTCACCTCCTTCGTGAATCTTACCAGGCAGCTTAGCTAAGCATTGTATTTATAATGCCTGTTCTATTAGAGATTGTAACTGTCAAATGAAACCCAAAAGAAAACTTCCCCTCTTGCAACAGTTGGCATTGCTTAGGCAGACCATCATGATTTAGGTATGGGATTAGGTAAGTCTTGATTTCTAGCTTGGCTTTATGTAACATCGGGCTACTGTACTAAAATTGTTGGCTGCCATGTTGGCAATAAAATCAAAATGACATGTAATGTGAAACATACCACAAGGACATATATAATGTAGTAATATAGCATTTTGGTGCTACAAGTTTACAATGCCATATTCCTTTGAAATTAATTTATTATATTACATAGGTCCATATAAATGAAAGTGGTGCTACTGTTGATCTACTCTAGTCGGATCTATAGTCATCCTAAATGAAATAAAAAGTGGTTGTTTCTGTGTTCTGTGGTAATTGTGGATCCATGTTTAATTGTATTCATTACCTCTGCCCACGGAGTGGAGGAGGTTATGTGATTGCTCTCGTGTAGTGTGTTCGTGTGTTAGTCCGTTCGTGTGTTAGTGTGTTCGCGCGATCGATATTAGCGCGTCGAGTCAGCAGCAGGCCAGTCAGTCAGCAGCAGCCAGCAGCGAGCGGCGAGCCAGCTCATAACACATACATGTTACATGGGGCGTATGGCATATGTCGCTGGTGGAGGTATGCACTCTGTGAGTGCCCTCTGTCTAGTTTAGAAGTGTTTTGTATGGGTTGATAATTAATTCGGCCACGATCTTCATTGTCCATCAGGTGGAGCACTTGCCAAAAAAGGCCAAAAAAGGGCAAAGAGTACTCGCTGATGGGGATGGCCACCACATCAAAGGGAAGGTTGATTCGAACCCCATCATGCTACTGCAAGAAGCTGCGCGAAGGCTAGGCATCTTCAACCTTGCTAAAAGGTATCATGGAATTGTTTCAGCCACTACCGAGTACTGATTATATGTACCCTGTATACAATGAGAGGTTGGGAGAGCAGACACTGGTAACTTTGCTAACAGTTCCACGTTTATGATTGACTTCCATTGTTGGTGTGGGGCGCCACCCATTACCGAGAAAACCAAGTTTTCAACACATCTTTTTACCACACGACAGGTTGGAAGGTGTGAAACATATCAGTGGTAGAGTTCAGTCAACGGGCAAGATGGTCCATTGCAAAGACTTCACGTTCTCACGGAACCAGTTTCCAGAGCTACACGATGTCACATTACAGGCACAAGATGACAGTACTATATCTTGCCACAAGTGTGTCTTGGTTGCCAGGCTGGAGTACTTCCATAGCATGCTAACTTCAGGCTGGATCGAGGTAAATACTCTAATCATATTCTCTATTGCTGTGTCCTTCATGCCAGTCGTTTATGCTGCCCGGTGTGGAATTGTGACAGGAAATTGTCTTGCGTAGGCATCCCAGGAGACACCGCTCAAGCTTCCTGTGGCCAGTAAGGTGCTGCATTGCATCGTCGACTACCTGTATACAGACTCTGCAACTAGTCTGATGGGCACAGAAGACACAGAGTTTGTGTGCAGTGTCCTCGTTGCTGCTGACCAGCTTCTAATGGGGCGTTTAAGATCGCTGGCTGAGATAGCGCTGTCCCTGCAAGGTTTGTCAGTCTTTATTTACGAGCAACCGCGTACCAGTTCTTATTTGATACTGGGAAACGTACCATGTATTCCTGTCGGCTACCGAATATGGACCATTGCGTTTTGCGTGCTGTTGATCATGCAATCTTTACCTGTTTGCAACTGCGCACGTTTAATTCCTACCAGCTACTTAGTATGAATCATGAAGTCTGGCTTGGCTTGTTATGGACCGTGTCACCTACCCCTCCCTTCCACACAGATATACCAGTCACTTGTTGTCTCATGACTCGAGTATCGGCATGTGCACCACGTTGCAGTGTCTCTGCGAAACGTCGGAGAGATTCTGGAGTTGTCCTACGTGTACAATGCACCACAGCTACAATGCTACTGTCAGCAGTTCATCTGCCTGAACCTGCCATCAGTGCTGGAAGGCCGGACACTGGACGTCTGCAGCAATGACGTCGTGGATCGACTGACGGACCATTACCGCCAGACGGTAGGCACACACCATAGCAGGCGATGCGTACTGTATTTTTTAATTAACAATGAAATTTACTGTATGATAGATGATGATGGTAATAGTGTCAATGCGACGTTGCAGTGGACGTGTGAACCATGTCATGCTTGTGGACAGCTTGTAGAAGCTGCACGTTGTAGCCTTGTTGTGCCAACATTTGCTTCCAATTTTAGCATGCGATAAGTCACTTTTTTTCTGTAATTCGTTCATCGCAGGTGCAAGCCATGTCGCACCGAGTGATCACACCATTCTACAACACCCCAGATTTCTCACAGCTAGACACGAGTTTTACACTGGTAACCCCTCTGGCCGATAATGGTATGCCAAATGACAGTGCGGCATCACAGCGGGTGAAGCAGCGCAAGAAGTCGCGTGGTGCGAAGTCCCGGAGTGTAAGCGAAAGCAAAGAAACACTGGCTGGTGGTGACAGGCAGCGACTAGAGTCTGTGTGCTCTATAGTGTCAGTTGATGAGGTGAGTGGACTAATGGGGGCGTTAGAGAGTTACCGGTGTCCATAATTACAGTTGTTGGTAAGGAGCAATGTGTACAGTAAGAATATTAGACAATGTATGAGTGCTTCTAAGATGTGTTGGAAGCAGTTGCTATAGTGTGAATAGCTAAGAGTTGCTGTAGGATGGTTAAAGGGCTAAACGTATAGATTAGATGATACAAAATTTTCTTCATTACCTACTCTATTTTTAACCTTTGATACATGTGTACAAATTTATGAAAACCTAGGATTACAACGTAGAGGACCCTCTCTCCTCACCAAATGATAGTTTCCATGATGATGATCTTCCACAGAAGCAAGAAGATATTAGGTACAGTATATGAATTGTGGTTTCAAACAAACTGTACAGCTAATAATCTGAATGCATTTATGCAACCTTCATCATGTGCGGTCAATTCGATCATTTGTCGTAGAAATCCTAACAAAATGGTCTTATATAGCTATGAACAGGTGGGAACAGATACCACTGCCCTTGTGTAAGTATAGTAATGGCAGACAATCTTTTTGGATATTATTTCAGTTCAAATGACGATCTGTCAAGCCGTTCAGTTTAGCAATGTCAATTTCATTAGGCGATACTGTTACCTGACTAGTTAGAATACGTGCTGTTCACTCTCTCTCTCTGAACACATATAATTACATGTAGTGATAATAGGTTGAAATCTTCAGATGTTAGCAAAAACGGACTGCATATTGTAAGGACCGTATTTTTGTTAGATCTCTTGCAGGTGTTTTGAATGACAGCGCTCATGGTCAAGAGGTCAAAAATCAGGAATCACTACAACAGCCTCCCCCCGCTCAGGGATATTATAGTCAACCAAGTAAAGACCCATTGCCACAGTCACTCCACATTCAGGGGTCCTATAGCCAATGGGGAGCAGTTTCTCCACAGTCTCCTCCTAGTTCTGGTATAATCAGCTTACGAGACATCATGGATGAAGAGCAGCACCAGATTGTGAAAGCAAAGAGGTATGTACGGATTATTGCACTGACCAGTTTTGCCAAGTTTTGCGTGAGGAATTTTAGGGGGTCACTTACTGATGTTGATTAGATTGTCCTAAGGAAGCTGGTCCATATTTAATTAGGGCATATAGCGCTTACCAGTTTGCAATTGAATATGATTAACAATCTCCTATAGACTTTGTTAATTGCATAATCTGTAACATTGTATGGTAGTGTGATTATTATGCATTTTTGTGTACATTTTGCAGGTTACCACGTATTAAAAAGCCATTTCAAAAAGTTCAGCTAAGCCCACAGAATCATAACCATGGCAACCAAACAAACTGTAATAGAGAGGATGCAGCTGCAGTTAGCACTGGCAATATGCAGCAACCTTGGTAAATAATGACTGTGAGGTTACTGTACTATAAAGTGGAAATCAAGTTACACTATTTTTTAGTGGTAAAAGTAAAATTTATTATATCCTATAATATATTAAGGTATAATACTTATAACAAGAGCCGCAGAGCGTCTGGGCTCATCTGAGGTCTGTTGCTACGATTATAAACGTAAAATTTCAGTCGTGCGTAGTACCACATTTGTTAGGCGCAGATATGCAGACACGCAGTTGCGTACACATCATTGTTAGGACACGCCCACTATCGAAGATGGAGGTTAGGGGGAGGGTGGGGGAGGGTGGGGGGAGGGGGTGG